TCGCAGAACTGCTCCACGTGCTCTATTCACGGCATGCCCTGCACCATCTCCTTGTTGTCGAGTTGCTTCAGGGCCTCGAAGTTGAGGTGCCCAAAACGCTTGTGCCACCTCCAGGAGTCGTTGTCGCGGCGGGCTGCAAGACACACGGGCTACTCCACCTGCACGTGGAGGACGTAAAGGCGGTTGGCGCCTCTGTTCACCTTGACGAGAAGGCGACGATGGACCCCGTGCTCGATCTCCACGCGCGAGCCGTTCTCGTCTAGCTGTCCTAGGCTGATGATGGAGTTTCTCAGTGCGGGGATGTAGTAGACACCGGTGAGTAGCCGGTGCTCGCCGGTCTTGGCGATGAAGACAACGGAGCCGACGCCCTTAATCTCCACGGCGGAGGCGTCCCCGAACTTGACAGAGCCTCGAACGTCGGAGTCAAGCTCGGAGTAGAACTCCCGCCGCCCGGTCATGTGGTGGGTGGCGCCAGTGTCGAGGTACCACCCATCGATCTTGTCGCCACCAGACCCGTTGCCGAGGAAGACATGAGCCCACGGCTCGTTGAGGTGGAGGAGCGCGGCGGCGGCCGGCGCGGGAGAGGAGTGTGGCTCGATGCTCCCGTGTATGAAGAACAGAGTCGGCTCGTCACCCTCCTACGCTTGCACGACGTGTGCCTGACTGCCGTGCTTCGCCTGCCGGCAGTCCTTGACCCAGTGGCCGGACTTCCCGCAGTTGTTGCAGGTGTCGTCGCGGGTAGCCTTGCGCTCGCCGTCGGCGTCGCCAGGAGCACCACCACGTGCCTTGTCCCGCTTGCGTGGTCGACGCTTGCGGCTGCTCGACGAACCCGAAGCCGAAGAACCCGAGGCCTCCCCCTTCTTCCGCTCCCGCTGGCGGGCGAGCCACTGCTCCTCAGTGAAGAGAAGCTTTGCCACCGATGGTGACCGACTCTGAGGGAGGTAACTGCTCGCGGTTGTCGATGGCCTTGAGGTGACCCGTCACCTCCTCAATCGACAGCTCGAAGAAGTCCAGCAACATCTCGATCGTGATGGCGACCTGCGAGTACTTCTTGGGGACGACGCGGAGGAACTTCTCGACAGCTCTCTCCTCGTCGATGTCGTTGTCACCGTACCGCGCCAACTGATGCATCAAGGTGTTGAGGCTAAGAGCGAAGTCGTCGACGTCCTCACCCGGTTTGAAAGCCAGGTTCTCCCACTCCTGACGTAGCTTCTAAAGCATGGACCTGCGGGCATAGTCGCTGCCGATGTGTGTCGCGGCGATGGCGTCCCAGGCGTCCTTGGTGGTCCGCTTGTTCGCGAGGGAGGAGTGCATCTCCCTTGGAACAACAACAAGAAACGCCTCCAGTGCCCATCGAAGTCGGCGTCGCCGTACCGTACCGCATCCCACACGCGCCGCACCTGCATCTTCACCTTCATCACCATGGACCACTCGGCGTAGTTGGTCTTGGTGAGCATGGGCCATCCGCCGCCGGCATCCTTGACGATGGTCTGCACGACGGGAGGGGAGCCGGGCCGGCCACGGCGACCACGGCGCCGGTCCGGGGAAGGGGAGGTGCGCCGCTTGTGAGGGCTCCACGCGCCAGCGTCCCGTCCGCCCAGGTCCTGCGCCTCACGCTGCTCCTCCCGCTCTAGAAAGGCGTTGGCATCGCGTGCCGCCCGCTCTTCTTGGTCCCGTGCGTCTCGGTCGAAGTCGCATCGTCGTCCGTCGAAGCGGCCGACGTCACGTCCGCGTCTGTCGTCGAAGCCGCCGCGGTCGCTAGCCTCACGTCCACCACGTCCGCCCAGGTCGCCCGCTTCGGGCCAGGCCCGCTCGACGTCCGCTCCGCGGCGCAGAGCCGCAGCCGCCACTGGTCCTGCATCTGACGCGCCCGCCCGGGCGCCGTAGTCCTCCTGCTCGCCCGCGTCCGCCTCCGCACGGAGCGCAGCCGCTGCTGCTGCAGCCTCCCGCGCCTCCGCTACTGCCTGGTGGGCAATGTTCATCTAAACGGCCGTTTAGCCCGTTTAAACACCGTGTAAACGCTACACGGTGGTACGCCGTTTTCGTTTAATCATCCGTTTAGTCCGTTTAATTTGTCGTTTAGCCCGTTTAATGGTCTGTTTAGCCCGAATAATGGCTAAACGGTAGGTGACCGACTGTTTACCGTTTAGCGTTTACGAAAACATTGCTGGTGGGCGGCTTCAGCCGCACACGCCGCAGCAAGCTCCGCCTGGGCGATGCGAGCCACCCACTCCGCTGCTGCTGCACGCTCGGCCGCCGCCTCCTCGCGCCTGGCTGCTGCAGCCGCTGCAGCACGTATGCTGGAGGTGGTGGAACGGTTGGAGGAAGAGGACGAGGAGTGGAGAGACATGGCGACGGATTAGGATGGGGTAAGGGTAGAACCCAGATGAACTTAGACTCTAGATACCATTTGTTAAAACCAAAACACAGGTTTGGGGCTAAATTTTAGATTTCATTAGCCATGCCACAACTATGGCCGGTTGGGGATATATATAGGATAGCTTGCTTGAGCCTTAAAAAAGCTTGCTTGAGCCTTAAGAAAGTTACAACATATTTTAGAGATGATAAAATAGATGCTAGGGAAACAGATAAAGGCTGAGATAGCCACCGACCACTCTAGATAATTATCCTAAATAGATAAGGACAGGACTTATAGCTATCAGTTATACAAGTATGACTTGCAACACAATATTGCTGTTATTGAAACCAAGTTCTTCCCTGGTCTTCGAGCAATAAATCTTGAGCATCAGCTGCAATTTGAGTCTCACAGTAAGGTAGTTGCTGTGGGGCGCTGCTTCAAGTCAGACAAATTAATGGCCACAAGTGGGGTGCTGACTGACGATCCAAGCGGAGTTCATCGGAAAGAACTCATGATCTCCACATGTGAAATCACCATGGTACCCTGCTGATCTCTCTTTACTTTCATATGTTGCGGAAATGAATAATTATGGCATATTGGCGTGGTATGAGTGGTTAAATATATCATTATATGCACTTAACTTTATCTTTTGGGCATTAAAGTTGCATTTTTCTCTTATATAATTATTTTCTAGTATCGCTTTATTTTGTGGTAGGCTTATAGCAGTTTATATATATATTTTTTCTAGGTTGGGGTTGGAGGGCCTCTTAGTGATTTGGACGGGAACTTTGTTGGCATGAACTTTTATGCGACGAAAAGGACGCCGTTCCTGCCAAGGAGTACTATTACTGAATTCCTGGTTAATTTCAAGAAATACCGGTATGTTTTTACTGTCAGCTATGGTTTCTCGTTTTGCCTAGCCTCTACTTTCCTATACATCACTAATTTATACTTAGACATTTGGTATGCAGGGCACATGGAATACTTTTGTGTAAAAGAAAAGTTAAATTAGGACTGCACTTAGTGTTGGCTTTTAAAATGGTCATACTGAACTATAAGCCTCATGTTTTAAATGTTGGCACAGCCACACAGAGTACATTTATAAATTTTAAAATGGTCATACTGAACTATAAGCTTCATGTTTTAAACATTGGCACAGCCATACAGAGTACATTTATAAACAAACTGGCTGAGCCCATTCTGTCAGAGTCTCTTTAGTTCTGTAAAAAAAAGGATGCCTGTTCCCTGAGAGGTAAATCATAATGATTAAATGCTGACTTTCCTATACGTTGACTTTGTTATAAGTTCCCTATAAATAATATATAGCCTTTGTTACACAAGAAAAGCTAGTAAAATTCTATAAGACTATAAGTTGACTTTCCTGTGAATAATACACCAAGTTATTGGGCTACTTTAGAAATATGAGTACAGGTACTAGCAAAGTGGTTAGTCCCAGAATTTGGTTCGCTATTTTGTGCTAGATGGCAACAGAACAGTTAATTTATCCAAAAGATCTTCTAGATGATCATAGATCATTTGTGCTAACAGTGAACTAGTTGTTCAAGCCAGAAATTATATGCAACCGAACACCAATCAGTAATCATCTATACTCCTTTAAAAAGACTCCAATGGTGGTGGCAGTGAATCTGTCACCCCACCTACTCCAATTATAGTTTTTACACATTACCCCTTGAACTTCTTAATATATTGCATAACAAGTAGATCTAAATGGATAGCCATATATAAAATTAAATTAAGGTGAGTATTCCTTGTAGCGAAAAGGTGGGTAACATATTGTTGAAAACTATGTTTTTATTTATTTTAGGCAATATTATGATAGCTTTTCCTTTTACCCGTAGCAAAGCATGGGCATTTAGCTAGTATGAAATGAAGTAAAGAGTAGTAGCTCAGAGCCTCAAAGGCTCATATATATTGTTGTTGTTATTATTATTATTAAAAGCACTAGGTGCTATATAAATTCCCTCTGGTCACAAATACTTATTGTTTTGGATATATCTCTGGTCAAACTTTTGAAACTCAAGTGTCAATAAACTTTTAAATATTTAGGTTGATATATGTTAAAAATCATATGCACAGACCATGTCAAAAAGTACTTTAATACTATTACAAATTTATTGGATATTAGAATATATTACAATTACAATAGAAATTAGTGGTCTAAGTTATATTGTGATGAATGAAGACTATAGTTGTCCAAATTCCAAAACAACACGTATTTGTGATAAATATAGATAAGGCACATCATCTTTTTGAGTGGCAAAAACACTTTTGAACTACCCCAATATCCTAGCTCGTTGGCTGTTATGTTTGTTAATTTATTTGCATCAGAGAGCATCCTTGACAACAATTTGGTTGCTTCTCACATCTCTAGCTAAATAAGTACCATTTCCATCTAGACCACCCGTACTGTCAAGCATGTATTACAGTTGCCTTGTACGATTTGGACTATTGTGTCCATGTTGAAGCGAATAACGATCAAGGTTTCCTTGCAGGTTTGATATTATATTTTCTCAAATTTGTCTGTTTCTATGAGATAGTTAATACTCACTTTTTTTTTTTTGTATTGCTCCTATTGTTTGCATAGCTCTTTCACATTCACGCATAAGGTCTCTCGCCCTGGATGGCTGGATGGCTAGCTAGTCCTCGGGGGGGTGTTCTGGTCGCGTGCCACCTTTGGGGAGTGTTCTGGTAGGGTCCTTGGATCCCTCCGTTGTCTATATTTCTTTCTTAATGAGCGCAGTTCTCATGTGTTTTCGAGAAAATAAGCATTCATGCATAGATCTTGGAAAAACATTTTGGTCCAATTTGACTGTTAATTGCTGGTCACTGGTTATTGTTTGTGGTGCCTGGTAAAAGATATTGAGGCCAAAACAAAAAAGATATGCCTAATTTGAATAGTGGATTCAGAGGGAAGCGAAACATAGGCACATAGCGGCATAGCGCTCAACTGCTCTCGCAGAGGCTATATGTCCATGGCTGCATGCTTGCGGATGTCAGGGATCCTCACCATTTTATTTTTTTCTTGAAGTGTTACTCCAATATGCAGTTTTCCAAAAAGTAAACCTCAGGTTGCATAAGTGGGGAGACTAACCCACAACCTATACTGCACAGGATTGTTAGCTCTTTGTACCGTGCTAACTGTATTATCTGTTATCATACGATGGTTGATAAATCTTTTACCCTTAGTTATGAAACTTTGAATAACATCACTGACCATATCATTGGTTACAAAAGGAATATAGAATGCTAATTGTCCTTATCCATTCCACCTTTTCTTTGGTAACTACGCTTGATGAATTTACTATGTTATACTGCAGGGGTGAGCTTAAGAAACTTGATAGCACAACTGGAAGGAGCACAAATGAGATACAAGAATCTCCTGCAACCTCCAAGTCCTATTTGGAAGGCTTGGAAGGATGTTCGGACTCTTTTGAGTTAGTAAGTGTGCAAAAACTCCTCAAGACTACTAAACTGTGATGTCACCTGTCGAGCAGATCATCATCATTTATTTTAAACTATTCATCGTTTGTAGGTTTGTCAGCATTTGTGCAAGATTGATTTTATGCTTTTACCTGTCTGTACTCTGTACTAACATACATGGATGTTCTGCATGAGAATCTAGTATTGTGTCCTTTACCCAAGGATTTCAGTTTATCCAATCTGGTCATTCCTCCTCTCGTCTTTACCATTTTAGGTGACTCCAGTAGGAAAGCTGAGAATGAGCAGGAGTCGTCTTCTTCTAGTGATTCAGAAGGTGAATCAGGCTAGGTCACTAATATCATGCAAAAGTTATCATGTTTCAATGCTAATTATTGATCATTACTAACACATGGTCGCCTTCACCTTGTTTCTCTAGAAAACCCAATTGAGAATGATCCATTTTTTCTGCTGGAGACCTCCCCTTTCTTGCCAGTTGCTGATGGTGATGGTGAGTCATTGCTTCTAATTTTGCTGGCATTGTTAACACATGATGATTAATCACTTCAGTTTGTTCACCAGAATTTGGGAATTTTTTTTATCAAGGAACTAACGTCTCAAGGTTATCCTTTGCCAGCTGCCCTTGATGGTGAGTTTGTTGCTGACTACCCCCCTTGCATTGCACATTTTGACAGTTGTATTCCAGTACTCTCATATGTGGTACTACTTTTCTTTAACCAGGAGGCATGCGTTTGGTTAATACTTTTGAAAATGAATTTGCTGATGATATCTGGAGTAAACTCACCAAAAAAGTTGCTGCAAACATGTCTCATATTGTTGTCTCTCTTGCTTCATTCAATGGTAATCGCATTGCTATAATCTTATTGCATTTTTATTTCTTTTTTATATTTCATCAATAACTATGATTCATTATGATCTTGTAGGAGAAGAACGAATTTTTGTTTGCACAGGAATATTTGTAGGCTGCAATGAATCCAACACAAGGATCCTGACTTCAGCAAGTTTGGTTAGAATTTCTGATGATGAAAACAAGATTAATGATAACTTGAAGGTTGGTATTGTATTGTCCTCCTTGAGCTTATTCATTTGAGATACCTGTAAATCCGCACATTACTTTTGCAGATTGTTGTACACCTTCCAAACAAACTGTAGGGACATTGCAACATTATCATCTGCATTACAATGTTGCTATTGTCAGCATCAAAGGTTTCCGTTGTCTTCGTACAGAAGAATTTCATGATCCAGGGCAAATTAAGCGTAAGGAGGTATTATCTGTAGGACGTGTCTTCAAGTCAGGCAAATTAATGGCCACAGGTGGGATATTGACTGACAAACCCAGCAAACTTGACTGCAAAGAACTTATGGTCTCGACTTGTAGAATCAGTAAGGTACACTGAATCTCCAAATTGAAGTCTTGTTTTCTCCTCGTAAAAGAAAGGTTTTAATTTTCTTAGTGGAACAATTTATTGCATTACAATATGAACAATTTAATATAACACTACCAAACATTGCCATGCCTTACCAAACCGGGGCGTGTTCGGCTGGCTTAAAGCCAGCCGGCTGGCTTGTTTTTTCTCTCACAGAATCACTGTTCACGTCCTACCAGAACAGTATTTTTCTCTCACAACAATCAGCCGGAACAGTATTTTTCAGTCCTGCCGAACAGGCCCCTAGCCAAAGGGGTGTCTAACAAATGGACGGCCACACCTTAGGCAAGGTTTGGGAAATAAATGAGCGCATGACACATGTTTCCTAGGAAATGAAACAAACAACTGGCTTACAGTGTGGCAAAGATTGGCAAAGTGTGAAATGCCCCCGCTTCTGCGGAACTACATGTGTAAGGCATTTAAAACATCTTTTCATATGTGCTACTTTGTTTTTGTGTTAGGCTGGGATTGGAGGGCCCCTGATTGATTGTGATGGGAATTTCGTTGGTATGAACTTCTACGGTAGGAAAGAGACTCCGTATTTACCAAGGGATATACTTATGAAATTATTGAGCTATTTTGATGGAAAAGGGCATGTCTTATATGTTTATATGTAGACCTATGTGATCATTTTAGTCTTTTAAAAGCTAAGTTAATTATTTCCGGATGCTGAACTGTTTTGTGTCTTGTTGTAGGGACGTCTCTCCTGAGATTATGGACAACCAAAACATAAACAGGTATGTGTGTTTTTTAATTGTGAAGCAACTCAATCATATTTGCTCACTTTGTTTCACGTTAGTAATTCAGTGACTTGTTCAACAACAGATGGCCTGTGCCCAAGTTACATTATCCTTCCTTCTCCAGCCATCGCAAGATAGAGCCGCGTAATGAATATATAAAATATTAGTAATTTATATCCATGCCTATCTAGTCTTGAACATGATGCATTGGTTGCTATCTACTAATGGAGTAGCTAATGGCTTGATTAGCTTGAACTCCTCGATTGAACTCCTGTGTTGTGGAAGGGCAGATCTGACAAAGCATTCTTGAACTCTACGAATTTACAGATTGGTTTGGTCTCTATGATCTATGTTATGTTTATTTAGAATTATGTCACTCTCTGTTCCCTGTTGGCAAGTCAGTCCCATACGACGAATGCTACTTAACCTTATCTATTTTCTTTATTAAATTTGAAACGCCACACACTGGATTACTTGAAACCACGAGCTCATATGGTTATCTCCAATATGCATTTGTCTTTCAAACGGAGTTGTGCGTTTATAATTACCCATACCAGTTAATTAATATTAGTCAAGTGTAAACTATACAGTTTCTTAAATTGACAGAAAACTCAGCTAATTTAGGGCCCGCTTGAATGTGTTGATGGATGACGAATAGTTGAAACCGAGTTTGACACAAACGAATGAATTAACTATGGTCAAAGTTGAAAAGTTTGCTTTCAAAAAAGTTTTCTAAGAAATATTGAAGACAGTTTATTCAAAAATCTCGTTGTGTTAGTTATACTTATACCGCAGTCCCAACTCTCGGCCTCCCGCACAGGCACAGCGGGTCAGCCGCACCGCCCAGGCACGCCCGACGCACTCCACTTGCGAGCAGCGAGCGGCGGCCGGCGGCCGGCGGCGGAGCAGCAAGCGGCGCAGTCAGGCGGGCGCCCCCTCCTAGATCCCGGTCCCTTGCAGCAGTACACCCCTTCTCTGCGCTGCGCATCCCTGGGCTGGGCGACTCACCATCAAATCGGCCGGTTGGTGGCTGCTCTCTTCACCCCGGCAAGATTCAGCCAGTGAAGAAACTGGCCAGTTCCTTGATCCTCGTCTCCTCTGGTCCTCTCCTTCGGTCTTCCTTGTGCTCAGTCTCATTCTCACCGTGCAGGTACCCGACTGCCCTCTCGTCTTCAGCCTGTTCGGGAGGCCGTATGGTATCGTGGATTATTTAGTATTGGCTGATTTGTCGTCTAGTACTTTCGTTCGTCATGTTGTGCTGTGCTGTGGTAGTGTAGTCATGCTTGACAGTCCTTCGTTAGGAAAACACTATGGACGGATTTTTGTTTGAGTGCTGATACTTCATCCTGCGTCAGTCATGTAAACTTACTCATGAAATGTTGCGTGAATTTTCTAAAAAGTATAAAACATATATTCTCTCCCATTACGACTCACTGGAATATGTGCTACTAACACACACGTATATGTATATATATATATGGACATATAGACTGGTGTAGTTTTTGGTTTTTTAAACTAAAATTTAGCCATAGTCTTGGGCAAATTCTAGGTCCGTCACGGGGTGCAAGTGCAACTAGCTTCGTCATAATAAATATGGCAGTTCCATTATTAGAATGTCCGGCTTAAGGAATATAAAGGTGGCCAACATCTCACTTCCAATTTTCTTTTCTTTTTTTGGCTTAAGATTGCATCAGTTGATCCATTATCTCCTTGTCCCCACCAGGCTTAGGCTTCTGAGCTGAAAAATACACACACCTTGGGCTGGCTTAGTGGCTTGTTTTAAAAATTGTTCTGATTGTAATTGTTTTCCTTTTAAAATTTGAAGAGTATAGTTGATTTTCTATGAAACTCGATTTAAGCTCGGTTCATCTTGCTAGGCTCGGCTAGACGTTGAAAATATGATAAATCAATTTCAAAGAAAAGCTGAAAACAAGTGAGCCGACTCATCTCATTATCCACCCGGTGCATATATTGCAAGCAAAAACAAAAAAAAATAATGATTTACTCCCTCCATCTCAAATTGGAAGTCATTCCAAGAATCTTGGAGAGTCAAAGTTTTTCAAGTTTGACCAAATTTATATAACAAAATAATAATATTTATTATACCAAATAAGTATCATTAGATTCTTTATTAGTTATATTTTCATATTATACCTATTTGATGTCATCAATCTTTGTGTTTCTCTCTATAATTTTAGTCAAACTTAAAAAAGTTTGACTCTCTAAGATTCTTGGAATGACTTACAATTTGGGATGGAGGGAGTATCTCATAAAACATTTATGGGATGATCTTATGATTGACAAGCACGCCTGTATCGGGTGCTGCCCACCCGCCAACCGCCATCCGATTCACGTACTAGTCTGATCTGAACCGTTGGATTAAGATTCTGATGACTTGACCAAACAGGTCGGTTGGACAGGCCAAAACCAGGCATAGCGATGTCCACTTCGGGGCACCTGTGTCTTTTGGGTTTGGCCCATTTCTTCGCTTCCTTCCGCGACCGCAACCGTGCGTTCCTCCTCGAGCCTTTTCCCTGCGTACCATTAAAAAAGATGGTCTTTTTTTACAGGCCACTAAAAAGTTCGGACTTACCTAGGTGCCATGACACTTTATTTCTTTGCCCCCAAGCCATTCTGTCCATTTTCGCTAGTAACGGTGTAACGGCGGCGAGGAGAAAAGACGAAGTGCCCTCGACCGGGAGGATGAGTGAAATTGCCGTTCTTGTGTGTGCCACTCCACGACCAAGCGTTTGAGCGCCAAGACGGTGGCGTGGGCAAGTTTTTGGCGCCAAAGGCTTTGGGCTTGGCGCCAAAGAGACCCCGCTTGGTGCTTAAGCGAGGAGCTATCAAGCAACGCGTGCAAGCAAGCAGCATAAGCAAAGCTCTCGAAACCGCCATGAACATGGGTAGCGGGACCCGGTGACGATCCGGTGCAGAAATTTGTAGCGCGTGCCTCTTTGTGTGCCCGGCGAAGCGCCGTCCGGTCTGCATAATCTTTGCGGCGTGACGCGCGCATCCCGTGGTCGGTGTCCTCGCGGCTCCCGTTGCGGAGCCGACGAGGCGCGGGCGGCGCGCCATGGGCGCCTTCCCGTCGCGCCGCGGCAAGAAGCGCGCCGTCTGATCGGCATCTCAGACGCCACCGTCGCGCTGGGGCTGCGGCGGTGAGGGGACCCATCAACGGCGTCAAGTGCATGAGGCGGCTCCTGCGCGCCGCGCCGCCTTCCCAAACGACGGCATCATCATGCTCACCGGTGTGTGTGTGTGTGATGCAATCGTCCATGCATTTCGATCTCTCTCAAGAAACTAATTGATGCATGGGGCAACTCCGGTGCGGTGCGATGATGACGAAGGACCCGTTCATTTGCCGACCAAGGACAACATCCGCATGGCGATGCAATGGTCGGTGGTGCGAAGTGAACAGCGGCGACTCCACGGTGTTCCATTTCTCCGGGCTGGGCACGCGAGTCGCATGACGAGGATCGCGACGAAGCTGGGACGCGTCGACGAGGCCATCGCCCGTTGGACTCGTTCGGAAGGGCCCCATCACGGACGACGAGATCAACGAGACCATCGTCCGCCCCGCCATTGGTGCACGGCGCCAAAAGCCGCACGCCGTCGTCGGCGCCTACCATAGCGCCACCGTCCTCGACCTCCCCTTCCTCTCGCAACATGTCTAGGACCGGGGCGGCGGTGGGAGGATCACCGTCCCCGTCGGGCGTCTACAAGGGCACGCAGCGGCGGCGGTGGTGCTCATCGGTGACTCAACGGCGGCAAGACCAAGTTCGGCGTGGTCGGTGCAAATTGATCCTATACTTCTATGGTCGCCATGAACGAATCGACGCTCGATCTCTTCCGATTGGTTTGACACGCGACACGCCATGTTCTATTGCAGACGCAGGAGGCTGCGCGGCGGCAGTGGGAAGCCATGACGCACGGCTTCATCAAGGCGGTGGAATGCGAGCCGCAGGGGTCACCTACGCCGCTGCTCACCTCCATGAAAGCCATCATGACCAACGCCCGGCGGGCCGCAACCATTGCGAGGGTCCTATCGGCGCCGGCGGCGCGCCCCGCACGCAAGGTCGCAAACTTCGATTGGCGTGCGAGGTGAGGCTCGCCATCGCGATCTTGATGAGTCGAAAGCATCGACTTTGTTGTTCCGTCCACGACATGCAACTCATATATGCAATGCATGCATGGCTCGTCTTGCGAGGAACCTAACCGTCTGCCGGAGATGTTCGGCGTCTACCGCAAGCCCCTTTGCGCCTGTAAGAGCCTCGTCGGCTTGCCATTGCAGACTACATCTTCGCCGTCTGGACTCTATAAACCGCCGTGTTGTCGGAACAATAAATCGAGATGGGTTTAAGGATGATATATGCTTGCTTGCTAATGATGTGTGACTAATTGTCTATGTGTCAATAATGTGTGTCTACATGTCACCGGACCGAGGCAAGCTCATAGCTTGTGGGACGACTGGTTCATCATATCGTCCATGGCTCCCGAGCCTCTGTACCTTATGGCCCATTGTAACAAGGCTATTGTTTTCTGTGCATTTCTGTGCAGTTGATGGGCTCGTCGGGGGCACAGTGAGGCACGCGTACTGCGATACTTAATCGGATCGTCATTTGGGTCCCGCTACCCATGTTCATGGCGGCTTCAGAGCTTTGCTTGCTTGCTTGCTTAATGCAGCGTTGCTTGATAGCTCCTCGTTTAAGCACCAAGCGAGGTCTTTTTGGCGCCAAGCCCAGTGCCTTTGGCGGCAAAAAAAACTTGCCCATGTTAGCCGTCTTGGCGCTCAAACGCTTGGTCAGGGAGTAGCATATAGGGCAAACGGTAATTTTACTCATCCTCCCTAGACTGAGGGCACTTCGGTCTTTTCTCCTCGCCGTTACATACCGTTACTAGCGAAAATGGACGGAATGGCTTGGGGGCAAAGAAATAAAGTGTCATGACACTTAGGTAAATCCGAACTTTTTAGTGACTTGTAGAAAAAGACCATCTTTTTAATGGTACACATGGAAAATGCTCTTCCTCCTCCCAACAACCCACACACCCACAATTCCCAACAACCCCAACACCCCCAATCGCAACAGTTTCACTGCGCCACAGTACAATTCCTGTCTCGCACCGCCCGAGCCGGCCACAACAGCGACAGGCCCCTCGCGCCGATCGCCGGGCAATGGGAGCTGGGCGGGGGCGGTGATGGGCGCGGCGGGCTCCAGGCTGGAGAAGGCGCTGGGCGAGCAGTTCCCCGAGGGCGAGCGCTACTTCGGCCTCGAGAACTTCGGCAACACCTGCTACTGCAACAGCGTGCTGCAGGTACGCCGGGGCCGGCCCGAATCTCTCTCTGCTCGTTGCGATGCGAGCTGCTACCCCGCGTCAGAGGCGTGGGGGGATTTGTTGGTTCTCTTCCGTGCGGGGGCGGTGAGGAGCGATGCGTGTTTTGCGAGATCGTGTCGCGGTGATTCCGCCCGTGTGGTGCTCGCGCCGAAGATCAGCGCTAGATTTTCTGCGTGGGGGTTTTTGTGATTGTTGAGCGGTGCCGGTGATATGTTTCCTGTTCAATTTTTTGCGACATGATCATAGGTCGTCATGTTTGTATGTAGGAGCTTTGCCACGGATAGTTAGCTGTGGGACATTTTTATCAGTAACATTTAGAGAAAGATATGGTACTGTTCTCCTCATAATGTGGGATCTAACTGTTTCCTGTTTCAGGCACTTTATTTTTGTGTTCCTTTCCGTGATCAATTGCTGGAGTACTATGCAAACAATAAAAACACCGGAGATGTTGAAGAGAACATGCTAACCTGCCTGGCTGATCTGTTCTCTCAGGTACTACTGCAGCTATTGGTTGTTGTGATTGTTATTCCCGTAATCTAATTCTCAACTTCTTGTATATCCTGCAGCATGTAGGAATCACTAAAAAAACATGTTGAATCTTGCGCGGAATTGTGGAGATTTTGGTTAATTAATCACAATTCCTGAGCAAAACTGTATATGAAGATCACTGCAATTGTTAAGTTGTCACATTTATATTGAATAAATACCATCGGATTTCCGCCAATAAAGTTGCTGGTTAATTTGACAGTTTCCCATGATGTCTATAGTTCTACTTGTTATAGACTTAAATTGTTCTTCCTTCCTTAGTTTGAAATCACAAAATGATGTTCCAAAGTATAAATTTCTACAGTTTAACCGCATAACACGCTATGTGCAAAATTAGTCCTCAGCAATGAACTACCAAGATTGCCTTGTATCTCTTACCATCCAAAGTGTAAGAGGAGCATGCTAGAAAGGAGCACTATGTGTTATTTGGATTATATACCTTCTTCTGGTAACCTCTGTAAATTGATAATTTGGACTTTTAAAAGAAAATATGTAATTTAATAAACCTAAACCTGGTTCTAGGAATGTAATTTAATAAACCTAAACCTGGTTCTAGGAGTAATGCCTGTTGAATGAGAAAATTTCGTAGGACATGCTCCATTGTTGCCTTACTTTGCCACTGACTTTTCACAGATAAATTTGTGTTAGCCTTTGTACTGACAGATATTTATGTGCTCGTCAATTGTATTGTAGTTTTACAGTATTTTTAAGTCTGAAATATGTACAATGTTTTGGGGACATCGTTTTATCTGGAGGCCTCTTACTAAGTGTGACATGTCATTGTTTGATACAAGTGAATATTGGAGTGGACTGAGGAAGAAACCAACAGTCTACTTCAACAAAATAATTATCCCTTTTTCATTGTCTATACAGATCAGTAATCAGAAGAAGAAAACAGGGGTTATTGCTCCTAAGCGTTTTATACAACGATTGAAGAAACAAAATGAGATTTTCCGCAGCTATATGCATCAGGTAATACATTTCGCCAGTGACGTCTTCCAATGTGTATTTTGTAGTTTTAGCAAGCTCATGGTCACATTATAGTGTAGTCTTTGCATGAATCACTATTGTAATTTTTGCAGATGTGTTTTAAGTAATTTCAATGTGAAATGATGCAACACTGAATTCAAGGTTCTATATTAGTATATTCAAATCCTTGCAATATCTGGAAATCATGGGAACCTTCAATCTGAATCTTACATATCCTGACTGTACCCTATGTTCCATAGATAAATTCGCTTAATAGCACCTGGAGATGGTTCCCCGCTAGATTTACGGAGAATCTTAAGCATTTTAGAATAAGTTCTGGATTTGTAAAGGCCATCTCTATTTTGGCTATTTATCAGTGATTAACTATAATCCTTGGTATATGAGATATGGTAATAACTAATAACGGTGCAGCATTTTAAGACATGTTGAAAAGATATGTAGTTAATTGTTTTTATGAAATATGTAGTTAATTGTTGCTATAAAATTATATTTCTCTTCCAAGATCATGCCATTTATATTATGCTTTTTCAATCATTGTAGTGTAACCTTTTTGTATAGACTGTGAACTCACACTACTGTACTTAACAGGATGCTCACGAGTTTCTGAATTTTTTACTGAATGAGCTAGTTGACATTCTAGAGAAGGAACATAATGCTGCAAGAGAGTCTCTTCAAAATATCTCGTTCCCAAAGAATTCAAATGGTCCTATTGATGGCCAACCCAATGGTAGTCACAAAGAATTAGCTGCCACATGGGTTCATAAATGCTTCCAGGTGAGATTTCATTCATTTGTTCTAGGATGCTTTTGTTTGTGTGCCTATGGCATGAACATGAACTCCAGCTTCTGCTTATGTTACAGTCTTATCTTTTAGATGTGCCTATAATTCTTAATTTTGTTCCTGTAGGGAATATTGACTAACGAAACAAGGTGTCTGAGATGTGAAACTGTGACTGATAGAGATGAAACATTTTTTGACCTGAGCCTGGACATTGAACAGAATAGTTCACTCACCAGCTGTCTTAAGAACTTCAGCTCAACAGAGACTTTGAATGCTGAGGACAAGTTCTTCTGTGACAAATGCTGCAGGTACGTTGTTCTCATCCCTTCGTCCATAGTCCATGTATATACTGTCTTATAATATTTTGTCCTGGCTAACATTGGTTCTGTAGAATATCATTTGAGGCATGTGTTTATGTTAGTTCTTGGCTCCACTTGTTTTGCCTTTTTTTTTTAAAAAAAAAGGTGCTTGAATCTACTGTAAATTATCCAATACCTCTAGCAGATCTTCTGGGCTAATGGCTTGGTTACCCTTCTGTTAGTACTCCCTCCATTCCAAATTATAAGACGTTTTGGCTTTTCTAGATTCATAGCTTTTGCTATTCACCTACATATATATTATGTCTAGATACATAGCAAATGATATGAATCTAGAAATGTCAAAACGTCTTATAATTTGGGACAGAGGAAGTAGTTGTTTTTGTCCGGCATAACTGTGATTTATATATTGTGATTGCTATATCATTTTTCCAATTTCATATGTTTTGATGAATTTGTTCTTCACTTCAGTTTACAGGAAGCACAAAAAAGGATGAAGATAAAAAAACCACCAAACATCCTAGTAATTCATCTCAAGCGGTTCAAGTATATTGAGCAGCTTCAGCGCTACAAAAAACTATCATACCGAGTGGTTTTCCCACTGGAGCTTAAACTTCTTAACACAGTTGATAATTCGGACTTGGAATACGCCCTATTCGCTGTGGTAGTTCATGTTGGAAGTGGGCCAAATCATGGCCACTATATCAGTTTAGTTAAGAGCCACAATCATTGGTTATTCTTTGATGACGAGAACGTTGAGATGACTGATGAGTCCATGGTACAGGCATTCTTTGGCTCACCGCAGGAGTTCAGTGGTAACACTGATAATGGCTACATACTCTTCTATGAAAGCCTTGCTGAAAGAAGTTGATGTCCTCATACCATGTGATTAGTTATACAATTTTCTTTTCCTTCCATTTCTGCTGGGGATATATAGAATATTCAGTGAAAAGTAGAATAAGCTGAATGAGAGGCCTTCAGCTTCAGATGTTATGGTACAATCAACACTTGGCAATAAAACAAGTTACCTGGAGGGGCTATAGGCTATAGCTGAAGAAGCCGACTAGTTTGTAGTTCCTACTTTATCTGTTTTTATGCATATACAGGTTGTATCAATTCCAGAATAATGTTCATTGAAGACCTTTATTATCATGTAAAGAGATTCTATCTAGGAAGCCTTTTTTGGTTTCGAGTAAAAAATTTGTTTGTTAGATAAAACTCCTGTCGATCTTCATTCATAGGATCCTCACCTGCTTATCGGTAGCTGACATAAGTCCTGTACAGTTTCCAGATTACCTTCTTTGTGTTATTGTGTCCTGCTCCTATGGTACATAACATATTTCAAAATTTTGAAGATGGATCTAAGCTTATCTCAAAAGCTACATATTGGTTGAATTCTGAATGCTTCTATGCATAATGCGGAAAAAAAATTCTGTCCGTATCTGAAGATAAGATACGACACAGCCGAATTTGGATGTCTAGGCCTGTTCGCATGCAAAAGTATGCTTAGGCCTGTTTGGATGCAAAAGTATGCTTAAAGTTTTAGGAAAATACCATTGTCGTTTCTAAAAAAAAAAATACCATTTTGTTGATTTCAAAAAAAAGAGAGAAAAATACTACAGTTTTACAAAATACTTTGGTTTTGAAAAGCTATGACGTGTTTGGCGACGATAAACCATGTGGTTTTGAAAGTCATGACATTTTTTTTTGGGGGTTGGGGGTGGGGGGGGGGGGCTTGGGGTATTACATAGGATGTAATGGCCATGATGACTTGGATGAAAAGCTAATAAATAGTACATCTGAGTGGTTTAGATTTTAGTGGTGCTAGCTAGAGAGAAAATGCAAGTGAGAATGCAATACACTGGAATGGGTAGTACTGACTATTAAATGACAGTACTAGTCGTTCAAATTTGCGCCCGGTCCTAAGAATAAAAAAAAATTGCTCACCGGGCACGAAACAACGCAAGCCAAATTAATAGTTCAAACTAAGCAAAGCAATAATAGTTACTCTACTTCGTTCTACGTACTAGCTTATTGATATATTGATATAGTCGGATTTGCATCAATCCACATATGTTGAGGTGGATTGGAGTGAAACATAAACTAAATTCCACCCCAATCCACTTTAACATATGTGGACTGAGATGAATCCGACAACATCCAGACAAGACATAAATCCTCTCCGCACGTAAACACGTAGTTAATCCACTCCAAGCACGAAGCTAATGTCGACGAAGTAGACGATGAAGCTAAAGACGATGGTGAAGGCAGCAGCTGTCCTGAGGGTCCAAAGTTAATAATCTCATCGAGGTGCGGGATGTATGCCAGCGGCCCGCTCGGTGGAGGATGGTCACAACGATCGCCGCCTCTGTCGTCGCTTTCCACCTACCCCGCCATATATGGCGACGCCGGCGGCAAGCTCGATAGCAAGAATTGATGATGATGTTAGCACATATATGTTATTTTTTTCGTATGTTGCGATTTGCGGATGATGATGATGTTAGCACATATATGTGCTATGCTTTTTTTATGACTACGATCAGAGCTTTACTGGTAAAGTAGACTAGGTGTAATTTTTCACAATTCGACACTCCCATGGACCTATGCTCATAGCCATCATATTTTTTTCCCCATAGGCATTCATAATGCGAATCCAATGATTTTCAATTTCTATGTCAATTTGTTTGTGAAATATGAAAGCAATGCATGCTTTTTTTTTTGTCTATATGCTAAATGATTGTCAATTTGTATGAAATATTTCTCTGTCAAGTTATATGTCTAGTGTTACTTTACAAATTGATTGGCACTAGCTTGTGATGGAATCCAATATGTCATTGGAGGCCCCTCTCGAGTCATTTGGTATCCAAAGTACAAATTGATTGGCACTAGCTTGTGATGGAATCCAATATGTCATTGGAGGCCCCTCTCGAGTCATTTGGTATCCAAAGTAATTCTTCAAAGTTAACAAAAAGATCGAGGAACTACACTCAACAAGAGGACGTCCAGTTGGTGTGAATCATGGGAGAACATTAGTAGTGATCATATCACTAACAATGATCAACCCTCAAAGGCATAGTGGAAACGAAACCATGCCAACAACAAAAAAATTATGAGTGATAGGAGTGTAAATTCTCTTGACCATAGTTGCGCACCGTTAATAGGAAGTGTCAGAAGTTTCATGCAATTTTTGAGGCGGTTGAGTGTTGCCATCCTAGCGACGTTCCAGGAAAACTCTCTTTAGTGTGGCTATGGTGAGACCCTGTGGTGAGACATGAGCTTGCTTTGCATTCTTTACTCTTTATTTTTTATTTGGCCTAGCTGATGGCAGCCACAGGATAATGACAGGAAATTCAATGCCAGACGGCGGACGTGCCAGGCTCGATCGAACCAATAATTCAGCAAAGTGACGGGCGACGGCGGTAAAAGAGATCAAAGTTTTTTCTTCGTACTCGTACGCACTGATTGATTGGACTTCGATGTGAGCATACAGTAATTGCCTGGTAGCCTGATAAGTGATAAGCACGGGCACGGCTGCAACAGCAAAAGGATCAGTTTGGAGCGGTAACCAGCACAGCAGCGAGCGTGGAAACGTACTGGCGCAGCGTTGACAGCGACGAGCCGAAGCCGACCGGTGTAGACGCACGACGCTTCTGCTAGTCCAATACTCCGCGCGCGTCAATGCCGGACGAAGCAGCCGCCCGCCGGTTCTCGCTGAATCATTGGATCGGCCGTCGGTACTTTCTGGATGCCCAAATGTTGACATGTATTCCCTCCATCCGTCCCATAATATTTCATCTTCTAGCCTTCTTTAATTTGTGCCGGTCTCTCCTTGGATCAGCTTGATGATCAGGGGAAGGTGCATGCATGCGTTGCGTCGCCGCAAACTTCAAGGCTATATATATCCACGTAACCAGCTGTTAATTTCGAAGTTCGAACTAAGTATCCCAGTCTCAAAATGTAAATGAAGGAAAATCAGTGCTTGAGAAAAACAAGTCCCCGCTTCCTCTAAAGCCAACGGTAGCGACCAACGCTTGTTTATTTGCTGCTAATGTTGCACGTAGCGTCTGCAGGCAAACGTATAAAAAAAATGGCATGACTCCATGCCCCTCTAGAGGAAAGGTAATAACTGTCTTCCAAGCCATAATAGATTAATAGAAGGTCTTGACCCCAGATCACGACTCGCGCGGACACTACTCAGCAGGTCGTGTTTCCGGCATGACGATTGACGAAGCTCTGAAAAAGTGCACGCGGATCAATTACAGGATCTTCATCGGCGTTCATTATTCAACGCTGGCAGCGTCACGGGATACAACCAAAGGTTGGCTGCTCTCTTTGACCCAGTGGTGTGACGCAGGGAAAGCTCGCAAAACCATCCAGGCATCTGAATTCTAAAGTGACACTGCCACATCTGACAGAGACTCTCAAACGACGACAGAGACTTTGTTTTGTTTTAACCTACGTGAAAGACTTTGTTGCTACTGCTCCGTCCATAAAAAATACTGTATATTTTTTGTTTTCCGGAGAGTCAAATCAAATAATATAAATCTTTTTTAAATAAATTATATAAAAAATACTAACACAAATTAAATGTCATTAAATTAATTATACAATATTTTTATGTAAACTTTATTAGAGACATAAATATTAATATTATTTATTACAAACTTAGTTAAACATAATTTAGCTTGACTAGCACAAATCTTATAGTTCCATCTTTTGTGAATGGTGGGAAAACTTATGTAAACAGATGTTGGAAGCCTTTTTGTCTTCACGTAACAATTTAATTTGTTTCCAATGTACTACGGTTTATGTCACATTTGTATAAGGTTTTTAATTATGGGCTAAGCTCTTTAGTGATGGAGTCCTCCAAAAGCTATAAATACCTGTAGGATCTCTGGTTGGCCTAGAGGGGGGTTAATAAGCCTGTTAAAATAAACACTCAAACTTTTATCAATTTCACCTGCGGCCTTTCATCGCTCTGGAGGACGGCACTGCCGCACCTACAGATAACTTGAATCACAGTTCAAAATCCGTGAACGAAAACTTAGATCGAAGAAATTTTCTAACTTACTGCAGGTATAACAATCACAGATCAAGAGCTAGAAGTGGTAGAAACACTACACACAAGTAGATCGACTAGAAACCCTAGAAATCACCTCAATCACAATATGTCATGCAAGTAATGTAGATCAGGCACAAATGACACAATAATTTATCCCGTGGTTCGACTCGCCACCAAAGCTTGCCTACCTCCACGTTGTTGAGGTTAGCCATTAAGACTTAGGGCTTTCTAACCCTTCCTCGTTCTCAAAAAGAGACTTAACTCTTGAGATGAGGGGTGAGTTTACTAACTTTAAGAGATGGTTATAAACCTCCCGGGGCTGCCACACAAGTTGGCAAGCTCCACGGGCGACGCTCTAGCCGGCTAGGAGCCAAGCTCCAAGAGTAACAAACACAACCGCCGGCCAAAACGTGAACCAAGTGCTCTTTAGAGTTGGGGAATCAATGGAGCTGCTCTCTAATCGAGTTTTGGACCCTTTTTCCTCAAGGATTGATAAGGAAATCAATGGATTTGCTTGAGAGGCTTGAGGTCAACAATGGAGGGAGAGAGAGTGTGTTTCTGCTCTGTTTTGGGCGTGCTGAAGTGAGGAAGAAGAGGCAACGTACCGTTGGGGAGGAAGGCGACGGGTATAAATAGCCCCCAGCCTCCAACGGTCACTTGAGTCACGGCAGTTGCAGCGACTCTAAGTCTTGGCGATGCCGCCTACTGGCGATCTCTCTCTTCAAGTCTTGTAGTGCCACACCACGCAAGACAGTAAGAGTAAGAGTGAAGTGTAAACTATCTTGGTTATGAATCTGAGGATGCATGTG